GGTTGAGGTATGATTGAGCTTTGTTTGAGTTTTGTTGGGGCTTTGCTTGAGAATTCCTTGAGCCTTGTTTGAAATCTGTCCCTCCCGTCCCGCGATCCCAACCGAGGGGGGGGGGAGCCAGCCCCCACCCCCACCCCCGGGTCCTGATCAGGGGGGGGAAGGGGGAAAGTGTTCCGCCTCCTCCCGCACAGGGATCGGAGAGGCGAGAAAGTTGATCGCCCCTCCAGCTCCTCCTCCGCCTCCTCCTTCTCCTCCTGCTCCTCCTCCTCTTCCTCCTCTTCCTCCTCATCCTGCTCCTTCTCCTGTTCCTGCTCATGTTGCTGCTCCTGCTCCTGCTCCTGCTCCTGGTTTTGCTCCTCCTCCTCCTCGACCTCTCCCCCCCCTCCTCCTCCTCCTCCTCCTCCTCCTCCTCCTCCTCTTCCTCCCCCTCCTCCTCCGCCTCCTCCTCCTGCTCCTCCTCTTCCTCCTTCGCCTCCTCCGCCTCCTTCTCCTCCTCCTCCCCCCCTCCTCCTCCTCCTCCTCCTCCTCCTCCTCCCTCCTCGTGCTCCTCCTCCTCCTCCTCCTCCTCCTCCTCCTCCTCCTCCTCCTCCTCCTCTCCTCTGCTCCTCCCCTCCTCTTCCTCCGCTCCTCCTCCTTCCTCCTCCTCCTCCGCCTCCTCCTCCTCCTCCTCCTCCTCCTCCTCCTCCTCCTCATCTCATCTCATCATCATCATCATCATCATCATCATCATCGTCATCATCATCATCATCATCATCATCATCATCATCAGCAGCATCATCATCATCATCATCGTCATCATCATCATCATCATCATCATCATCATCATCATCATCATCATCATCATCATCATCATCATCATCATCAGCATCATCATCATCATCATCATCATCATCATCATCATCATCATCATCATCATCATCATCATCATCATCATCATCATCATCATCATCATCATCATCATCATCATCATCATCCGCCTATTCCTTCTCATCCTACTCCTGCTCCTTCCCCATTCCTCCTCCTCCTCCTCCTCCTCCTCCTCCTGCTGCTGCCCCTCCTGCTCTTCCTGCTCCTCCTCCTCGTCCTCATCCTCCTCCTTTCCCTCCTGATCCGCTTCCTTCTGCTCCTGCTCCTCCTCCTTCTCCTCCTCCAACTCCTCCTCCTGCGCCTGCTCATGTTCCTGCTCCTGCTCCTGATCCTGCTCCTGCTCCTCCTCCTGATCCTGCTCCTGTTCATGGTCCTGCTCCAGGTCCTGGTCCTGGACCTGTTCCTGCTCCTCCGCCTCCTCCTCATCCTCCTCCTCCTAATCATCATCAGCATCATCATCAACCTCATCATCATGAGCATCATCATCATCACCACCACCACCACCACCATCATCATCATCATCATCATCATCATCATCATCATCATCATCATCATCATCATAATCATCATCATCATCATCATCATCAGCATCAGCATCAGCATCAGCATCATCGTCATCAGCAGCATCATCAGCAGCATGATCAATATCATCATCAGCATCACCATCATCAGCATCATCATCAACATCATCATCATCACCACCACCACCACCATCATCATCATCGTCAGCGTCATCAGCATCATCAGCACCATCATCATTATCATCAGCAGCATCATCATCATCATCAGCATCATCATCATAGTATTCAACATCATCATCAGCAGCATGATCAACATCATCATCAGCGTCACCATCATCAGCATCATCATCACCATCAGCATCGTCATCATCATCAGCATCATCAGCAGCATCAGCACCAGCATGAGCATCATCATCATCATAATTATCATCATCATCATCATCAGCATCGTCATCATCATCACCATCCGCATCATCATCACCATCCGTATCATCATCATCATCATCATCATCATCATCACCATCACCATCAGCATCAGCATCATCATCAGCAGCATTCGCATCATCATCAGCATCAATCATCATCATCAGCAGCATCATCATCAGCATCATCATCATCAGCATCATCAGCAACATCATCAGCATCAGCATCATCATCATTATCATCACCACCACCATCATCCTCAGCATTGTCATTATCATCAGCATCATCCTCAGCATCGGTATCGAAAGCATCATCATCAGCATCAGCATTATTGTCATTATCATCAGCGTCATCATCAGCACTATCATCATCAGCATCATCGGGATCATCATCACCGTCATCATCGTCATCATGATCATCATCATCAGTATCAGCATCATCATCATCAGCAGCATCATCATCACCAGCATCAAAAGCAGCATCATCATCATCAGCAGCATCATCACCATCATCAGCATCATCATCAGCAGCATCATCACCACCACCAGCATCCTCCTCACCATCATCATCACCATCATCACCATCATCATCAACATCAACATCATCATCCTGCTCTTCCTCCTCCTCCTCATCCTGTTCCGCCTCCTCCTCCTCCGCATCCTCCTCTTCCGCCTCCGCCTCCGCCTCCGCCTCCGCCTACTCCGTCTCCGCCTCCTCCGCCTCCGCCTCCTCCGCCTCCTCCGCCTGCTCCGCCTCCTCCGCCTCCTCCGCCTCCGCTTCCTCCCCCGCCTCCTCCTGTTCGTTGTCTTTCTCCTCCTACTCTTCCTCTTCTTGCTTTTGTGTTAGTAGAATTGTTTCAGTATGATTATGTGTATTTGTCTTTCTCGTCTTCTTATTACTATTGTTATTATTCTTCGAATAATTATTAGTATGATTATTCTCCAATCAGAGCTTGATCTTCCTTGTAGGGGTCCGATGTTCGCTGCAGGCCCGGGTGCCCGGGTGCCCGGGGGTGCCTGGGGCCCCGGTGCCCCGGGGGTGCGTGCCCGGGGGTGCCCGGGGGTGCCCTATAGCCTTATAGCTCTAAGCCCTATAGCCCTGTAGCCCTTTAGCCCAATAGCCCTACAACTCTACAGCCCTATAACTCTATAGCCCTATAGCTCAATAAGCCCTATAGCCCTATAGCCCCCTAGCCCTATAGCCCTGATTGGGTTTCTCCGGTATCATTAGTAGTATTCCTTAATATTATTACTCCTCCTCCACCTCCTCTGCATATGTATAGATGTATGTCTCTGCATATGTATGTGTATCGGGATCCGTGTCTGTGTGTATGTATACGCACGTGCACATCTCGCCCGAAGGACTTCACTGGCGATGTGCCGCCACCTCGCTCTCCTCCTTCTGTCCATCTCTCTCTCTCTCTCTCTTTCTCTCTCTCTCTCTCTCTCATTTGTTCTCTCTCCCTCTCTGGGGAACCTACAAAGGTAACGAAACCGCTACTCCCAAGACCTCTCCCGGGGTGCGTTCTGACGAGGATTTCGAAGCGAATCCAGCGGTGACGGCGACGGCCTCACAGGGGGCCGAAAAGAGAGGCGAAAACGAGGCGAGGGTAGCGGCATAGGTACCTGATCCTCCTGAGAAAGCCCTGCTCCTCCTCATCATCATCCTCATCATAAGCATCATCATCAGCATGATCATCATCATCATCATCATCATCATCATCATCATCATCATCATCATCATCATCATCATCATCATCATCATCATCATCATCATCATCAGCATCATCATCATCATCATCATCAGCATCATCATCAGCATCATCATCATCATCATCATCATCATCATCATCATCATCATCATCATCATCATCATCATCATCATTATCATCAACAACATCATCATCATCATCCTCCTCCTCCTCATCATCATCATCATCAGCATCATCATCATAATAATCATCAGCATGACCATCATCATAATGAGTAGCAGCATCAGAATCGCCATCATCATCGTCATGCTCATAATCGTCATCCTCATCATCATCAGCATCATAGTCATCATAATCCAACTCCTCATCATCATCCTCATCATCAACATCATCAGCATCATCGACACCACCGTCGTCATCATCATAATCAGCATCATGAACATCCGCGTCATCATCATCATCATCATCATCATCATCATCATCATCATCATCCTCGTCCTCATCATCATCATACTCACTATCAGCATCATCATCAACATCCGTCATCCTCATCATCAGCATCATCATCAGCAGCAGCAGCATCAGCATCATCATCAGCAGCATCATAATCATGAGCATCATCAGCATTATCAGCATCATCATCGTCATCATCAGCATCACCATGATCATCAGCATCAGCACCATCATCATCAGCATCATCATACTCATCATCATCAGCAGCATCATCCTTATCATCATCATCATCACCAGTATCATCATATTTCTCTCTTTCTCTCTCTCTCTCTCTCTCTGTCCTTCTCTCTCTCCCTCTCTCTCTCTCTCCCTCTGCGATGCCACTGGAGAGAGGGAGCAGAGCGAGAGGCGGGGCAGAGGGCGGGGGGGGGGAGCGGCACTGGAGGGACGTGGGGGGGGGGGCGAGGCGGGCGGAAAACGGCGAGGAAGGTTTTGTGCCCAGCCTCAAGCAGCGGGGGGAAGGGCAGGGGGAAGAGGAGCAGAAAAAGCGAGGAGGCGACGGGGAGGTGGGAAAGGAGCCAGGAGATAGACAAGCTGACTACCTACCAGACAACCCCAACCCACCCGAAGACCCGAATTTGACCCGAATTTCGGGTTGCGGGGGTACGGGTTCCATATGTTTGTCCAATGTTCCCCGACCCCCCCCCCACTGGAAATGGAGGGCAAATTGAGGCCTCTGGGTTGGGTTGGGCTGGCTTGGTCGGTGGGGTGACAAGCGCGTCCCACTACTCGCAAAGAAACTGCTCAGTACTCGCAAATGGCCTGGCTCCGCCACGAGGGATCTACGGGCCACTACATCGAGGCAAAAGCACGTCTTTCTGACGCTTGCGAGGGGGCACTTTGCGAGTAGCGGGACGCGCCCAGTGAAGAGAGGGAGGGGGGCAGCTCGGCGGTGGTGGGGGGGGCAGGCCCGTCCAGTGCCAAGCCGACGTGCCAACGGCGGCCCGGAGCGAAGGCGGGCGCACCGTTCTGGAGATCGGGGGGGTCGACCCGAGGCGGGTGAAGCTGTTGACCGGGATCGAGCTCGCGTACTGCACCGACTCGTCGTTGTAGATGGTGCTCGACAGTCTGACGAGACCTGGCCACATGGAGCAGCGCGGGAGGGAGGAAGCAGCTGCCGAGGCGCTACCTGCAAACCAGACCTCCGAATGCATCCACCGACGGGAGGCAAGGAGTGGACCTGGCACTGCTCGACACTCTGACAAGGCGTCGTCGGGGATAGAACGCGCCTCTGGGGCTGAATGGGCCCTGGTTACGACAGGGCCGTTTTTGTTACCGTTTCTGTTGCTTCCATCTTGCAATGTCTGTGAAAAGGCGAAACGGTGAAGAAACGGCCCTGCCGCTTCCAGGGCCCACTAAGCTCTAGGGAAAGCGGGACAGTGCCCGAGATCGTCGAGTAATGCCAGGTTCTCACCCTCTCCAGCCTCCATCACAAGATCCTCCGCATACTTGTCGCCGTCAGGCGTCACCACGAGCCACGAGCCGACTACGCCACTGGCGTTCCTCAGCCATGGAGCCATGGGCCCAGCTCAACTCTTGCATGCCAAAGAGACAAGAGCCTCGTCCCCGTATCTAATCTCCACAAGGCAGACGGGCAAGACACTACTCAAGAACCCTTCACCAAAAGACGCTCGCACGCCAATCCTTGGCGAGCCACTGGGAAAGTGACGAGGGGCATCTCTGCCACGTCGCCTGCAAGGGGTTTACCTCAGGACGGTGAAGAGGCGGCGAGTCTGGTATAGCCGATGATGTAACCGTCGCGAGCCTCACGGTGGCACTCCAACTGGCACACACACACACAATAATCGGTATGGACGCGTTCAGATGATACCTCACATTTCGGCCCCCGCCTCCCTCCCCTTCCCACCGCACCACCGCACCCAGCACCCTGGCCCGGCGGCGGCCGACCGCAAACCGAGGGGAAGCTGCCGGTGCGCATGCTCGCCCTCGGCGACGGGCACGGCCCCGATTCGGTGCTGCCCGGTGTGGGTGTCGCGGGGCCCGTCCGCGAGAGCCGGGAGGTCGGGGACGTGGCTCCTCTGCGGCGTGGGGCCGCGCCTCCTGCTCCTTCTGCTCCTCCTGCTCCTCCTGCTCCTCCTGCTCCTGCTCCTACTACTCCTCCTCCTCCTCCTCCTCCTCCTCCTCCTCCACCTCCTCCTCCTCCTCCTCCTCCTCCTCCTCCTCCTCCTCCTCCTCCTCCTCCTCCTCCTCCTCCTCCTCGCCCCCCGCCCGGGGCCTCCCCGGCGACCCTCCCCGCGCCGACGCCCGCGCCGCGCCCGGGCGCCCCCCCCCCCGCGTTCTGAGAGCCTTCTGAGGAGCCCCGCCTCGCGAGGAGGGCACGGCGAAGAGGCGGTTGGCAGGCCTCGGCCCCTGGGGCCCCCTCGCCGGGCCGGGGGCTCGCCCCCTCGGAGCCTCGAGGAGAGCACGGCGGGAGGCGCTTGGCAGGCCTCAGGCCTCTGGGGGCCCCCCTCGCCGGGCCGGGGGGCTCGCCACGAAGCAGCTCCTCGGGAGGAAGAGAGCCGGCCCCGCCGGGGGACGCAGGGCGGAGGGCGCCCGCAGGAGAGGCGCAACCGGCAGGTCTGAGCTGCCTCGAGCCGCGAGATCGGCACGGATCGGAAACGCAGCGAATCGCTGGCGAACCGCCCCAGACCGAGTCGGAACCGGGTCGCCGCGCCCGGCTCCGGCTGGCCCTGGCCGAAACCGGTGAAGGGAGCTAGATCGAATTGTGCACAGTTTCCCCCCGGGCCGTAGGCGACCCAAGGAGGAGGAGGAGGAGGAGGAGGAGGAGGAGGAGGAGGAGGAGGAGGAGTAGGAGGAGAAGGAGGAGGAGGAGGAAAGGAGGAGAGGGCGGGGGAGGAGGAGACGGAGGAGGCGGCGGAGGAGGAGGAGGAGGAGGAGGAGGAGAAGAATGGCGACGACGAAGCAACGAAAGAGAAAAAAACATTCTGGCTCCGAGAGGAGGCGGCGGAGCAGACGGAGGCAGGACCTACAGCCCGGGGACGGGGCGGGACCTCCGGGGGCCCAGCGTGGGCCCCAGAGGTCCCGACCACGCTGCCGCTCGAAATGACGACGTCGCTGGGATGGGCGCGGGGGCTGCCAAGGGGATAGGGGGGATTATCAGTGGATGCCAAGGTGGGCTGTATCTGGCCTAACCTAGCTCACTAGTGGGTTGCACATGCCCCAAGTGGCTTGGGGTGGATAGCGATCCACCCCCCCTCTGATCTGGCCAAAGCCCCCGTCTCCTCGGCCTCGCGTCCCCCAGGGACACACAGACAGACCGACAGACAGACGGCACGATCCCAGGATTCCCTACATGTACCACACATCAACAACACAAATCCCCTGATCACTCCGTGGAAGGAGCCTAGGGACACACAGGCAAACTGACGACACGAACCCCAAGATCCCCCACATGTTCCATATACATCTCTGGGATGCTCGGCTTCCCCCCCACTTCCCATATGTTCCACATGTTCCCGGAGGCAGAGGAGGAGCAGGAGAAGGAGGAGGAGGAGGAGGAGGAAGAAGGAGGAGGAGGAGGAGGAGGAGGAGGAGGAGGAGGGAGGAGGAGGAGGAGGAGGAGAAGGAGGAGGAGGGAGGAGGGGGAAGAGGGGGAGGAGAAAGGAGAAGGAGGAGAGAGGAGGGAGGACGAGGAGGAGGGGGAGGAGGAGAAGGAGGGAGCGGTCCGTATCCATTTTCGCTCAAGCCATTTTGGCTCAGGGGGCCTGCTCCTTAACTTCCCAACCTCGGCTCGAGGAGCCCAGTGTGCTGTGCGGGAGGCCACGGCCTCATCCCTTCGGTCCGTGCGCGGGGGCGCGCAGCGATGCCAGCGCATGGCTCTCGCGTCGGGAACTGGGCGTGTGGAGGTTGCGGGTGCAAATCGAACTAGTACTGGTGGACGTTGTGCAAGCACTGCGGCCGTCAGTGGTCAGGCCCTGGGAGTGTGCAACCTGTCCAGGCGGATGCCAAAGGGGTACGGGGTGGCTCTCAGTCCGCCCCTCCTGGTCCTGGTCGTGTGCAAACTCCTGGCAATCGGTCTTCGCACTCCTCTACTCCAGGCACTCAGGGGAGTCCTAGCAAAGAGGAGATCCAGTCAGTCATACAGCTCCTTGAGGCAAATTCTGACTTCGAGGCAGCAGCTAAGTATAAGGACGAGATTCGCGCCTTCGACCCCCCGCCCAAGTTGCAGTGGGGGCCGGCGAAGCAGGAGATGGAGAGGTGTCAGGCAGCGTTGGACAAGTCTGTGCTCAAGGCCAGTAACCTCCAGGCAGCCCTGGACCAGGCCAAGGCCGACAGTCCAGCAGCGTTACTGGCCCTTGAGACAGCCAAAGCCAACTATGCCAAAGCAGTGCGTGAGCTCGCCTCCACAGTTCACCCCCGGCCCCAACCCCAGCCCCAGCAGCCAGTCAAGCCGACCCTGTCCCTGGAACAACGTATGGATGGTTGTCTTGAGGGGGTTCAGTTGGATGATGGTGGCCTGCTTGGGCTTGAGGAGGTCGGTTGGGAGCCGTCTCAGGAAGAGAGGGAGGAGGCAGCAAGGAGGAAGGAGCAGCTCGCTTCGGCCTTCAAGGTGGCTGCGGTCCAGGCGTTCGGGGCGTTCCGTGAGCAAGCCAAATCTGCCGTGGCCCAACAGAACAGGCTCAAAGCACGTACTGCTGCTAAGAAGCGCCGCGTTGATGAGGGCAGTGCGTCTGGGGGTGAAGGTGCGCCTGGTGTTGGTGCTGATCCTGGGGCCCCCTCAGAGACAGCAGCAGCAGCAGTTGCCCAAGCCCCAGCAGCCCCACCATCCTCAGCAGCGGCGGGCCCACATTCCTATGCCCCTGACCCAAGGGCCCCCAAGTCCACTGAGGAGCTCTTTCGGGCGGCCTGCGCCGTCGCCTCGAAGGGCGCAGGTAAGGCTGGGGGCAAGAGGGAAGGGGGGGGGGGGGGGGCAGAGGTGGCAGGAGGAGGCGGCGCCACGGCAGCGGCAGCAGCAGCAGCAGCAGCAGGAGCGAGGTCCGCGGGCGGAAGGGGCGGTCAAGGCCCCCTGCAGCGGCTTTGACCGCGCCGCGGGAGGCGGGAGGCACGCGGCCGCCGCGGCGGCAGATGGGCTCGAGAAGGATGAGATTGTGATCGTGCTGACAGCGAACACCAGCGACTGGTGCAACTGCCAGAAGTTGTTCGAGAGGGAGGCCGCAGGCGCGCTCGCTGTCCTGGTTCAGGAGATAGGAGTGAGCCCCCCCGCCAAGGATGAGCGCGAAGCTAAACTGAGACGTTGGGCATGGTCGACCAAACTCAGTCCTAGTAGACCCACTGAGGCGGGGGACTTGCCTTCTGGAGTAGGGATCGCCGTGCACAAGCTGTGGGTATGTCTCAGGCGCAGTGGGAAAGCCCCATATTCCCACGGCACCGCGGGTCACGATGACTTGGATCAGCAGCATGTGCCAGGAGGGTTGTTGGCGATTTTGATGTATCTTCCGACTGGCGACCCACTCGGGGATATCGGATCGCAGATTCTGTTTCGTCTAGGAGAAGTGCTCCATGCCGTCCGGTTGCCGTATATCACCGAAGGAGTCTGGAACTCCACCCCTGCTCAATTCTGCCAGTTTGGTTGGGTGGGTAGGCTGGGAGGTCAGATTGCATCGTCAGGAGAGGTCACATGCAGAAAGGGTAAGACTTGGAGGGAGCTGGAATATTTTGTTGTGTCCTCGGGGCTGGCGCCGTCCATTGTCTCGGTCGAAGTGGCCCATGACACCGCAATCACCCCGCACTACCCAGTCGCGCTCAAGTTGAAGTCTCGCCTGGTCCGAACTGTGCACCCAGTGCTGTCAGGTCCCAGGAGGTTCCCCTTGGAGGCCCCTGCTCCCCCTCTGCCTGGGCCGCCAGACTGGAGCCCCTCTGAGGACATGGTCCCACGGCGGGGGGCGGAGCTAGGGGGCAGTGGGCAGCAGGAGCTGGACAGGGTGAGTGCAAGGTTTTTCGGCCTTGTGGAGACGGAGTCGGTTGCAACTCACGGCCTACAGGGGCCCGGTGAATGCTGGGATCGAGGTCGAGGCAGAGGGTGGGGGTTGAAGACGTTGCCTGAACTCCAGACCAATGGAGGGCCGTACACACTGTCTTGCGTCAAGGCTAGAGGATGGAGGAAGGTTGCATCCGGTTCCTGGAGCTTGCTTACGCCGTGCGCCGCGAGGAGGGCAGTTTCCCACAGCACTGCATGGAGCTGATATCCAGGAATGCGTTCAGTCTGCCACCTGATGAAGCCCCTGATTCTGGACTAGATGGTGCCCCACCTTCGAGGGCATCCTGGCCTCGTCGTTCGATCAGTTGGAGGCCTACCCGAGCGAGGCCGCACCCAGTGCGTCGCTACTGGAGCAATCCTTCACCAGGGCCCGTGGCTCGGCGCGGAGGAAAAGGGTGTCTGATGCTTGCGACAAGGGGGCAGGAGAGGCCTTACCGCTTCAGGAAGACTCCTGTTGGTCGGCGCCCCTCGGTCACAGGCCCTGACGGGGCCCCGCTGGGGCTGGGGGCGCAGGTGGGCGCCTTGCAGCAGGAGTGGGTTTTGATCTGGGGCGTGCCCGCCGCCGCAGAGGACGCCTCCTGCTGCGCGGGATCGTCGACCTCTGATGGCCCCGCTACGGCTATTGCAGTTATGCTGAGAGGCGAAGGCATCGACCCGCAGGAGGCAGCTAATATCCCGCCCTTCGATGGTTCAACCATTCGAGAGGTCGCCAGGTCGTTCAAAGAGCGCACTGCAGCGGGGGTCGACAGGTTTAGTCCGCGTGATCTGCGTTGGCTCTCTGGCCGCTGCCTCACCATCCTTGGGCTCTTGCGACATTGGATGTTCGACGCGGGTCGCGCCCCCTCCTAGGCCCCCCTCTTCATGATTGCTATGCTGGAAAAAACGAGGGCGGCTTCAGACCCATCGGCTTGCTGGCGACGTTCATGAGAGCGTGGTCTCGCGCGGCTCGGCCGGTTGCTCGCGATTGGGAGTTGCAGCATAAGAGGGATTATCTGCATGGATGCTCGGGCTGTCTTGTGAGCGCGGGGTCCGGGGCCAG